CACTTATTATAAACTAGGCATTGTTCTATGTCCCTTAGTGCGCTAAGTTGTTGATTCTCACCACGGCCGTTTTACAGGTGAGGACACTCGGTCTCTCTCCGTGGTAGGTAACTCTCCTGCTGTCATGCAGCTTGTGAATGAGAGCTTTCTCTTCAGAAGCGGGGCCCCAGAGCCCAGCCTCTCACCCTCCACACTAAGTCACCTCCCTACACTAGGCACTGGAGGTTCCCCCTCTGTGAGCCTGTCTGAGGGCTTGCAGGTCGTGGTGGCAGGATGAACCCAGTCACGTGGAAGGTGCGAGCTTCCCTCCAGTTCCTGACCTGGTACATGGGTCCTTCCCACGTCATCATCAGCCTTTGTTCTGTCATCCTCGTCTGGGCTCCTGGGCCTCACGGGTTCAGAGCTCTAGCCAGTGACGTCATGATGCTCTCAGGCACCCTGGAGCCGTGGTCAGAACCTGCGCTGTCCCTGTCACTCTTGGGCCAAAACAGCGTCTCAGATCCAGACAAGACTCAAGAGAAGTAACACTGGTTTCCACTTATTGAGTAATTTTTATGTACCAGGCACTGTGTATCTGTCTTGTTTAATTCTTAGGACAAACAAATGAGAAAACAACAACAGCAGCGTGGTAGTGGGTGCTCCTGTTATTCTCATTACAACATGAGGAAGCCCCTGGGCTGAGAACAGCTGGGGAGCTGGGCTGCACGCACAGCTGGTAAAGGCCGACCTGAGGTTTGAACCAGTCTGGCTTTGCAAGCCGCCCCTGAACCGCAGAGTCCTGTCTGCCGAGTCATGTCTGAAGAAGCAAAGACAATGCAAATACCTCTCTGTGTCTGAATGGGTTTTTTAGTGCTTTTTTTCTTAACAAGAAAGATTCTTTTTCTTGACAGAGGGAAAAAAAACCCCAACTACTTCTTGGAAGTATGTTGTGTCTCTTTCCTGTCCCTCCCCCCCAACCACGCTGGAGATAACGAGACTTTTGTCTGAATCCTGGGGGTGTTCGTTTTTTGTTGGGAACCTTCCAGCTCTCTTACTAGTTCAGAAATTAATAAGATCTCCTTTCAGCTCTGTAGAAGCGTGGTCCATCCAGCGATCTCTCCTGCTTTGGGTTCGAGCAACAGGGAAGTGTGTGTAGGTGGGCTGGAGAGGAGTCCAGGATTTGGGAGACCAGGGGACAGTCTGGCCTTGTTGGCACATTCCCCTACATGCCAACACACACACACACACACACACACACACACACACACACACTCACTCCTCCTCCTCCTTCCTCTCCTTTCCCTCTTCCTCCTCCTCCCCTTCCTCCTTCCTCTCCTCCTCCCCCGCAACAAGACATTGTCAGGGAGTTGAGCACGTCTTCCGGGCCCATTGCCTGCCTGGCCTTTCAGACTCGGGACCACCTGCTTGGTTGGCCAGCAGTACTTCCTTGGCGGGGACACTCCGCTGTGTCCACTGTTCTGCCCTAGACAGAGAGGTGCAGTTAGCACCCTGCACCCCGGCCCGCCAACTCCCTTAGTGGGGACAGAAGTGGAAAGAGAGCTGAAGGAGCCCCTTGATGTGGGGTGGACGCGGAGCGGGGCTCCTTCCTCCTCTCCCCTGTGCCTAATACCCTCCCCCCAGGCACATTTCTGAGAAGTGGCCTCTTTGTCTCTGGTTGGTTGGAACTTGTCCCCTGTCTTAGCGCGGACTCTGCCCTCCCCTCCGAGTGAGAAAGAAAACATCGTGAAGCATAACAGAGAGGTTGCGTGTGTTTTGGAATCTTGGCTACTTCTGAAGGATAGCCCCCCGGGAACACAGGAGCAAGTGGTCCAGCATCTCACAGGGCCAGGGGCTGGCGTCTGGGTGGGGTTGGGGCATCCAGCCCTCCACAGGCTGCATGAGATCCAGGGACTGGCCAGTGTTTCGCTGGTCTTGCCAAGGAGACCTGACTGGGGACGGGCACCGGCTCCCCGGATAGAAGGAGAGGCCCAGGGACACTGCGGTCTGATTCTGGCTTCCGTATGCAGGGATGCAGCATTTGCTGTTGGTTCTGACTTGGGGTTCCTGCAGCTGGTTTGCTGTGGGAGCTGAGATTTAACACCTTGCTGGCTGGGAAGCTTCCTGTCCTGAGGGGTGGAGGCTGTGCAGGAAGATTTCTTTTTTGGTCCCTCACACTCGGCATACCATTTCCGTAGCTGGGCAGCAGATGGGCAGATGGGGGTGACGAGGAGCGCGAGGAGCGCGGGAAGAAGAAATGCGCTCTCCAAAAAAGTAGGGGCCATGGTAAAGGCTCAGTGTATCTTTTTTGGGGAGTAGGGCAGAAAAATCCTGCTGCTTCAAAATGAAGCGGGAGAGGGCCGGGTCAGAAAGCCCCAGAGACAATTTCAGGTACCAGCCGAGACCTAGCATTGGTCCTCGACAGACTCAAGTTCACATCCACGCTCTACCACCAGCTAACATGTACTGATTTTTCTGCTGAGGGCTTCCTGTGCATAATCTGATTCAAGTCTCACAAAACCGTATGAGGTAGGTGCCAGTTTACTCCCAGTTGACTGAAGGCCACTGAGGTACTGAGAGGTGCAGTAACTCGCCCCAGGCCACGCAACCAGAGAGGGTAAGGCTGAGTTTCAAACCAAGGGCAGTGGGATGCTGAGGACTCTGTTTTTAACCAAGGCTTTAGAGCTGAAAGAGTGATTCACAGTCTGACTTCCTGGCCTTCTGGCCTTGGGGAAGTCACGTAATTTCTCCCATCCTTAGTGTTCTGCCTCTGGGAAATGGGGAGATGAAAGTTGTTCTCCCTGGTTTCTCTTGGGGATTAAATTTGAAAATGTTTATTACTCTTCCAGCCGGTTCCTGGCCTCTCATGCTATCATCATTTATTCAATCTATGCTTACTTATGGAGCCCCTGTGATATGCCAGGTACCACCTAGGAGTACAAGCTAGAAAAGGGCCCAGCTCAGCCAAATGGAGCAAACAAATAAACTAAATAATTTCAAACAGTGATATGTATTGTGGAGAAAAATAAAATAATGACAGTGACTGTAGTGCATGCAGGGCCATTTTAGCTGGGTGGTCAAGGACGGTGTCTTTGAAGGAGTGGTAGTCGGGGTTCATTCCCAAAGGCAGGAGATGTCGAAGGAAACACACCTTCAAGGTGAAGGCCCAGAGTCGGGAACAGAGAGGAGGCCTGTGCAGCTGCAGCAGCGTGAGCACGGACGTGAGTGGCAGTGGGGACCGGTCAGAGGGTCAGTCTGGGCAGTCAGTGAGGGAAGGCCGTGAATGTTGTAGGAAGGTGTTTGCCTAGTGGACAGCCTTCAGAGGGTTGAAACGACAGTAATATGAGCTCAGTTGTTTGTTTAACAATTGGCTTTGGCTGCTCTGTGCAGAATCAGATGTTGGGGGACAAGGGTGGGTGCGAGGAAACCAGGGGGGAGGCTGAGATTGTAGACGGGGTGGAGGCCAGGCCTAGACATGAGCCCCCAATGGAAAGTGGTGGGAGACGCTTCCCACTGGTGGGCTGGTGGAGCAGGGTGGCAGCAATAGTAACAACCCTTTAAAGTAATGACGTGTGCAGCCTGGCAGTAGTTTTCACAAAGGTAACAGGCCTCAGGCCTCCCAGCTTGTCAAAGTCGAGTTTGGGCTCTTTTCCTAACACTATAGGAATATCACTGCCCTCATCTTGCCATGGAGCAGTGTCTGCTGATACTAATTTTTGTTAGCAATGGGAATTTATACTTTACGGGAGGGGCTTATTGAATATAATTGCATATCCACAGTTTATGTTGTCAAACTGGATTTCTGTATGGGACAGTGGTAAATAAACTTTTTCTGTAAAGAGGCAGATAATATTTTCATTTTTGTGGATCATATTGTCTCTCGTTACAACTACTCTGCTGTTATTAGCTGAAAAGCAACCATAGACAATGCAAAAAAAAATGAGTATGGCTCTGTCCAAATAAAAAATTATTTACAAAAACAGTCAATAGGTGGGTTTTGGCCCACAGATCATAGATTGCCAACTGTCATAGAAAATATCATTTATTTACATGACCCAGATACATTTTTTAAAATAAAACCAATTCTCGACATTTCCCCCAAACTCCTTTGTAGAACTAGGGTGCATCTTACACACCTACACTTCAGCATAAATTACATCAAATTTGATATGATATAATTTAATGACAACTCAGTCTAGTGGTTTTCAAATCTTGGGGATTCCCTGTAGGTAACTCAGGGGATGAGGGTGATAGTGAGAGTTGGGAGCTGAATCTCTGCTCCTGCTTTAACCAAGAACCCTTCTTGGGGCCGTGTTTTAACTGGTGGTCTTCATAGGAGTTTGAGAAAAAGGGGTTGGAAGCTAGAAGAAAAATGGAAACCCACTAGTCCAGTCCAAGTGGCTGAAGATCATGTCCACCCTCCAGAATCATGCATTAGAGAGGCCCTTGTTCCATTATTGCTCATAGAACAAGCAGATTTTCTAATGGATGCAGAAGGGTCAGCAGAGAGTTGCATTGGGGTTACATGTGTGGGGCAGAGCATGTGCAGGGAACACAGACCAAAGGGCCTTATATAGGTATAGACTCTGGACAACAGCCACGAGGCCCTATACATTGCTGTGAGGAAGGGCTGCTTTTGAGCTTTTTCAGGTAGAGACAGCAGGCTGACATATGGCAGCCCGGAGAAGGGGAGTGACAGAGTGGCTTCTTTATAGTCTGACACAGTTAGGTTTGAATCTCTGCTCTGTCATTCCGTAGCTAGGCTAGTTATTTCTTGCACTCCCTGGTTATCTGTTTTCCCAGCTGGGAAACTGGAACACCACCACTTCCTTTCTGAAGCTGTGGGGTGGGTTAAATAAGTTAACCTATGCACTTGACTAGCACATTGCTAGAAGCTTCAGAAATAGTAATTTCCTTCTCTGTTCTGTTCTCAGGGTGTGGGATGCACTCAAACGCTCTTTGAGACCTTCTTCCCTCTCGCTCCTATTGACTCAAATCTCCGTGCTCCAATCTTCTCTTCTCAGGATGTGGCCAGGTTCTGAGAGCCTCGAAGGGTCAGATTTTTTTGGAGAGCTACCCTCTAAATGCTCACTGCGAATGGACCATTCACGCCAAACCTGGGTATAACATCCAGTTAAGGTAAGGGGCTGGGGTCACCATGAGGGAGTCTGAGGTTATAAGGGAACAGAGTAACAGGACCAAGGGCTCTGGATCCCAGTGACCCAGGGTGCTAACCATCAGCACTCCATCCTTAAAAGCAGAAAGGGTATAGCAGAGCCTTTTTCTTTGCCTCTCATTGACTCAGTGAGATAAGGCCTGGCCAAAACTATGGCCAATCAAATGCTTATCATTCACCCCACTATAACAGTTGACCCAAGGATAACATGACAAAGCAAGACCCTGAGAGCAGCCTACCCCTGCACAAATCTTTACCTAGTCTTCCTGTTGGCTCAGCACTGGGCTGGGTTCCATGGGGGGCGGGTGAAAATGAGGAACTAAAAGGCACAGGTCCGACCTTCAGGGAACTTAATCTCTAGATCGGAGTGCATGCTTCTCACAGATCCATTCAGATCCACAGATGGAAGCCGCCACCCCTGCAACCAATTAGCCAATTCTCTCACGTGAGTGGAAGGTAAGTTTTTTCTTCTCTGGAGCTTTGAGGTCCACATCAATGTTTAATTTATGCCCTAGTCCAAAGTATAGCCTTGGCTTTATTGTAACTGTAGGTGAGTAGACAGGGGAGTCCTGTTTGGTGTGGACTGTTCACTGCTGCATCTTAATGCCTGGACAGTACATGGTACACATTGTGACCACTCAATAGATAGTTGCTGCATGAATAAATGTTGAAGGAACTGCTGTCTGTCTCCTGTGTATCTCCTCTTTCCTGGCAAGCACCTCTCCTAATCCTTGCTAGGCAAGCGGAGTGGCCCACTGACCCCAGGGATTTCTAGGGACATTGTCCACTCAGCGCTTCCCTTTTCTAACCAGCAAGGAGGTCGATCGTGATGGAGATCTCGAATTATCTAAGGCACAGGCTTCTAATAAGTATTTTCTAGATGGATCAATGCACCCAGAGGTTGCCCCTTGCCAGCTGTGTCCTCAAACAGCTCTCCGGCCCCCAGAAGGGGCAACAGCCCACCCCACATTGGAAGGATCCAGCAAAACAGTTCCCCTTCTTAATTGTCCTCATCAAAACTGACCCGTGGTAGTTTCATCTCCATTCCCTGAAGATCTGGGGTTGGGAGTATGGCTTGTTAATTGGACTTTTCTGAAGGAAGGGCAGCTCAAGGTGCAAGTGAGGGACCACATTGTTCTGCTTAGTGGGGTCCCGGTGGGTCAGCCAGGAGTAACAAGGGCAGGACTTAAATGTCACATGTTAGTATTTCAGCGACTGAGGGACCAGGCTGACTAGTGCCCTTGGGGGCACTGGAGAACTGCTTCAGGATCCAGGATGCAAAATAAAACCCTCCTGCAAACAAAGACCCAGATAGCGGAGGGCTTGAGAAGCACCTCATCTGCCTGGGAAAGGTCCTTGGGAGGCTTGTGGGTAGACAGACTCCCTCCCTCTAGTCAAACCTGGGCCTGCTGGCCAGAGACACTGGTCATGATGGAAATTCTCTGAAGTGTACGTACAACCATCAGCCCAAATGCCAAGCAGGCAGCTCTGCTGCCCCCTTTCTGTCACCGACCACAGCCAGGCTACCCCCAGATATTTTTCGCAACTGTAAAATGATCTTAAGTCCATTCCCACCTGCCTCTGCGACTACTGCCTTGCTTCATGCCTCCACCGTCTCTCACCAGGATTTTCTCATGGCCTCCTATTTGACTTCCCCACTTCCACTCTTGCAGCTCAGAGCGACTGAAGCGGTCCTTTAAAATCCCATATCCAGTCATTCTGTTGCCGAAACTGTCCAGTGCCTTCCCATCAAGCTTGGAGTCAAGTCCGAATGCCTGACCATGCGGGATCAGGCTCCTGTCTTCCTGGCTGGCGTCAGTTCCTACCACTCTCTCCTTCACTCACCACCGTGCAGCCTCCCTGACCTTCTTTCAGTTCCTCAAACATGCTGAGCTTGTTGCTGCCGCAGGGCCTTTGCACTCATAGACTCCCCGTGACCTTCACTGGACTGGCTGTTCCATCCTCTAAGGGTCTGCCTGGCTATCATGTCTGCAGAGATGTCTTCCTTGACCATGTTGTGTAGCGAGCTTCCCCTCCCCAGTCACCTGTTCTGCACTTACCAGGCTTGTCTTCTTAACAGCACTTAGCATTCTCTGCAGTCACTGACTGTGTTTTCTAGTCTCCTTGCTTATTGGCTATGCCCCGAAGCCAAACGCACCTCCAGGCAGGCAGGCAGGTGCTGTGTCTGGCTGGGTCACTTTCAGCACCTGGAACAGCGTCTGACACAGAGCACACCTGTCACACATGTGTTGAAGGAGTGAACAAGTGAATGAATGTGTGACCGTAAAATACAAGTTGTAACGTCTCATATTTTAGTTTCAGGAAAAGCTTGGGTCTCTGTGGGGTGGTGGCCTTGTCCCCGCTCCTCCCCTTTGCAGACAAAGATGCTGAAGCCCAGAGAAGGGACTGGTGGCTCAAGGCCCACACAGAGTTAGTGGTGGCGTCCGGATGAGAAGCCAGGTCCTCAGGTGTCTATCAAAGTACAATTAATAGGAATTACCTTCCCTTACTATGGGCACCTACTCCCCTCGGGCACCAGGTCTGGGCTGGTCTGTCTGTCCTTCCCTCTCCAGGTTGTGAGGGAGAAGACACAGATGTACATTTTGGGAACCTGAGTTGCAGCCAGTCTATGGGGAATCTTTTGAAAAATAGTTTTTCCTCTCTTGTCTCCACACGTTTCTTAGAAGTGGGAGCTTTAGGCTCATTTTTGCTGTTTGGATCTGATGCATCCCTGTATTTCCAAACGCACAACCCCTTTCAGGTGACCACAGGTTGATCAGATCTCCCTCAGTTCTGAAGTTCCGGTATTCTCTATTCTTTGGGGCAAGAGTTGTTGTTACCAAGAGCATAGTTACCATCTGATCTTTTTCTCTAACAGAAGAGAGCGCAGAGAGCTTTTTCCTTTACTTAGTCTTACAAGGCAACGTATATACTTTTTTCATTCTGATGGTAAAAATCACGATGTAGCGTCTACTCAGCCATCTACTGAACAGTATCTGCTTTGCATCTCTGTGTGCCGGGCACGGCATGGGGCACCGTGGAGCGAGACAGAGGCTGCACTCTACTCTCAAGGAGCTTGCGGTCTAGTGGAAGACACGGGCATGTGCGTGTGCACACGTGTACACTCACACAGTCAGGAAGATAAAAAGGAGAAATGAAGATTTGTGGACACGTGATGAAGAAAATAAAATCTCCTTTGGAAAGAGTTGTCAGGCAGGCCTCTTTGAGGAGGGACCGTTTAAGTTGGGGCCTGAGGACAGGAAGGACCAGCCTTGCCAACTGGGAAGGAAAGTGTCCCTGGAGGGGGAGCCACACATGCAAGGGTTCCCCGAGTGGGATAGGGCATCCCTTCACCGGGCATTCTCTGTGTGCGCACACACACGCACACAGTGTACATGCACACCCACCCGACTACAAAACATTTCATCTGACCTCAATCCCTCCAGAACCCGATTCCTATCAGATCAGGCCAGTGGCACTTAGTTTCCGGAGGCCTGGACATCATTTGGCCTTGAACTTGCCCAGGGGTCTCAGGACTATCTGGGTCCCACTTGTGTCCCACTGTCACCTTCTCTGCCCACAGGTTTGTCATGTTGAGCCTGGAGTTTGATTACATGTGCCAGTATGACTACGTTGAGGTCCGTGATGGGGACAACAGCGACGGCCAGATCATCAAGCGTTTCTGTGGCAACGAGCGGCCAGCTCCCATCAGAAGCTCGGGCTCCTCACTCCACATCCTCTTCCATTCAGATGGCTCCAAGAATTTCGATGGCTTCCATGCCACTTTTGAGGAGATCACAGGTAAAGGCCATGGAGGCAAATGCAGTGTTTGGTGACTGGGCTCCATATGAACACTTCCTCTCTGTGCACCGCTTCCCTCCCTGCTCAGCCTGGTTAAAACCTAGTGTGCTGGGTTCCCTGAAGAACCTGGACATGGTGAAGGAGGAGAGGAATGGCAAAGTGCCCTGGCTGGTGTGGCTCAGTGGGTTGGACCATTGTCCCGCACACCAAAAGGCTGCAGGTTCAATTCCCAGTCAGGTCATGTACTAGAGGCAACTGATGGATGTTTCCCTCCCTCTCTCTCTCTCTCTCTCTCTCTCTCTCTCTCTCTCTCCCCCTTTGTCTCTCTCTAAAATTCAGTAGCTATATTCTTAGGTGAGGATGAAAAAATCGGAAAAACCTAAGAAGTGTCAAGGTGTATTTCAGAAATGTTCATGAGACCTATAATTAGGAATTACTATCTCCCTTGTACAGATGCTGGAGCACAGAGAGGCAGGGGAATTTGTCCAAGGTCACACAGCTATGGGGGTGGAACCAGAGATTTATACACCAGCAGTTTGGCTCCAGAGCTCACATTGTGGGGCCTGTCATGGCTAAGAGCATTAGCCTTGGATCTCTAGCAGATTAAGCCTGGTAACCTTGGGCAAGTTCTGTTACTTCTCTTGGCCTCAGTTTCCTAACCAGTGACTAAGGGAATAACCATAGATCCCACTCCACTTAGGCTCTGGGAAACAGAGAGCTGAAGAGCTGAGCCCAGTGCATGGTGTCTGGTGTCTGGTCCATAGGAAGCATTCAACAGTCAACTGTACTGCAGGCATGCTCTGAGCCTCCCTTTGCCATCTGTAAAATAGGTGTTCAGTGCTCCAAACCACCATGGTAAATGCCACTTACTTCATGAGTAACTCTAAGCCCGACTTGGCCTCCTGCCCCGTTCATGTTAGGAAGTAGGATTTGGCCAAAGTGAACAGAGTGCCCAATCCCAAGGAATCATCCCAGCCCTCCTTGTTCTGGGACTGCATTGCATTGGGTTTTGCAAAATAAGCTCGGGCTTAAAGTTCTATGTTTTAAGATACTGGATGTTAAAAAATGGAAACGGCACTTTGATCATTAAATCTTCCTCGTGGAACATGTGATACAGAAGCCTCAGGAAAGGGGGTGGGTGGCAGGGGTGTCGGTCTGTCTTCCACCCTGTTTTTTCTGTGAGACCAGCAGACGCCCCGCCCTCTGCCTCTCCTGTAGAATGTTCCTACATGAGCTGGGAGCACCCAGCAGCTGCTCCTTATCACCTGTATGCCTGCCTCCCCAGGACATCCCCGGGGCACTGTGCAGGACCTGGGCATGGCTGCCAGTTCTAGGGGCTTTGCTGCTGTGGGCGGTCAGCCTGAGGCTGAATCCTTGCCCCTCAGTGGTGGTGCCCTGTGGGCTGAGGCTGAGCAGGTCACATTCAAGATACATCTGTGGGTATTTGTGTCCATCAGCAAGAGCTGGCCATCAGGGAAGCCAGTTTGGAGCAGAGGTGGCTCCCCAGCTTGTGACCCTGTGACTGAGGGGAGGGTTGGGAGGGCCGCTTCCCCCTCTAAAGTGGTCGCATCACCCTCTGCTGGAGAACATTGGGAAACACGGGTCTGCATTGTCAGATACACGGTAGCACTTTGTTCCTCAAACACCCCATCTGTCCGCTGTGCTCCAGTTATTCTCTCTGCCTAAAGTCATTCTCCAAGTTTCCTCCAAAAATTAAAACTGGAACTGCCTTGTGATCCTAAGAATCCTGAAACACCAATTCAAAAGAATACATATACCCTCATGTTGATAGCAGCATTATTTTCAGTGGCCAAGATTTAGAAACAGCCTAAGTGCCCATCAGTAGATGAGTGGATAAAAAAGCTGTGGTATGGTTATATAATGGAATACTATACAGCAGTAAAAAGGAAGGAGCTCTCACCTTTTGCAACAGCATGGATGCACCTGGAGACTGTTATGCTGAGTGAAATAAGCCAGTAAGTGAAAGACAGATACCATATGATCTCACTTACATGTGGAATCTAAAGAACAACATAAGCTAATAAGCAATATAGAATCAGAGGCATAGAAAATGGAACAGACTGATAGGTGTAAGAGGGCAGGGAGGAGGTGGGCACTGGTTGAAAGAAGGAGAAGGGTTTAGCCAAAGAACATACATGCATGACCCTTGGACAATGGTGGGGGGATTGCCTGGGGGAGTGGGGGTCTGGGTGGAGGGGGTGAAGGGGGAGAACTGGGACAACTGCAATAGCATAAACAATAAAATATTAAACTTGAAAAAATAAAAAAAATTCTAAAATAAAACCCCCAAAATAAGAACAAAGTCACCTCCCCAGCTCTGCATGTCAAATCCTGACTTTCAAGGTCATATCAGACTTTCTTCTTCTGATAAATGTTTTCTTTTGTCCTGGTGGGCTGCGGCTTTGCCCTTTTTTGAATATTTCATAAATCTTTCTTTTCTTTTTTGACCCTAACTGAGTTAAGCTTCAGGTTATAGTCATGGTATAATTTTTTTCCAAAAGCTTGATCTGGCTCATAGGCTCTTGGTTCATCTTTGCATCTCTCTGGCGCCTTAAACAGAGCAGACACAGGCTTGTTGAACTGGGCTGGGCAATGTATTTCTACAAGTGAGGAAATGAACACGGGGTTGGGGGATCCCAAGCAGACAAATGGTCCCTAAAGTGTTCTTTACAGAGAAATGTTCCCCAAGACACTGTAAAATGCAGGTTCTCAGGTCAAATAAATTCATGAAAGGTGGAACATCATACATGTTCTTAGATATTTGCACTGTATATGAGGGCGTGGAATATCCTGAGAAGTTCTGCAGAAGGGAAATCTGGTTAATATCATTTAACACCAGTTGTGTTTCCCCAACCCATTGGAGCCCAGAACTTTCACCATCTCAGGAGGCTTCTGTTTGCAGAGTGTGTCTTGGGAACTCTTGAGTACACTTTCAGCAGGGTCCTGAAGATCATCTCCCACTTCCTTTCCTCCAGTACCCAGGGTGCTGGGATTCCTTGGAAAGGATGATCTAAAGCTACCTGGGGCTTCTTCTGTCCCCTGGTGTCCCTATGTAAGGGTGGAAGGTGCTTCTGCTTTAGTCACAGGTGTGCCTGTTTGTGTTGGGCTTGGGCTCTTCGGACCGTCGGTGTCTTGAGCATCCTTCTGGGGCCTTTGAGAACATCAGATAACATCAGCATCATTTGACAGTTCCCGAATCCCTGTTTTTGGCGTTCTCAAACAATGGTAGCATGCATTCAAAAAAGGAATGAAAAAATAGCAAGAAGACTTCGATGGACAAGTGAAGGCCTCTGGTCAGGACCCCGGGCTTGAGGAAATGGACGCACCACACAGTGGCACTGAGAGAAACTGCTTTTTCTCTTTCAGCATGCTCCTCATCCCCTTGTTTCCATGACGGGACTTGCATCCTTGATCAAATGGGATCTTACAAGTGTGCCTGCCTGGCAGGTTTCACCGGGCAGCGCTGTGAAAATCGTGAGTATGCCTGGGGTGTGGGAGTTAAAGTGTCATGTGGGGCTGGCTTGAAGAGGGCTTTGGGAGCTTTCTGGCTATGTTGTTTCTTGGTGTCTGGGCTGGTCTCCTCAAGGTGGCAGGAAATGTGGACACTCCCATCCACTGGATCTCAGGAAGGCTGGGCTGCCTCTGAATCAGGGTGTCTGGAACCACCCAGGTTTGCCCGTTGGCATTTCCAGCCCTCACCTGCTGCATGTATCTCTGAAAAACATATGCCTTCGTTGGCCCAAATAATTCAGAGCTCAAAACCAATGTGCAAGGGTCAACAGTTGAAGCAACAGTCATCAGCTCTCCTGTGACTCAGAGTCTGAACTCCCTGTCCGTCCCAAGATCTGATTTGCAGCTGTGCTCTGGCATACTATCCCCAGACTCCAGAGTGGCTGGTGCAGTCTGAAGCCCTGCGCTGAAGATGGTAGTTATGTGGGGTGATAATGAGCCCCAGTTCCCAGGACAGTCCCAGTTTATGCATCTTGTCTGGGTAAAATTATTAATAGCATGCTCTTTAATATTCAAAAGTGTCCCCGCCCTGGCCAGTATGGCTCAGTTGGTTGAAATGTCATCCCGTAGACTGAAAGGTCATGGGTTTGATTCCCTGTCAAGGCACACACCCAGGTTGTGGGTTCAATCCCCACTTGCGGTGTGTACAAGAAGGCAATCAATTGATCTCTCTCTCTCTCTCTCTCTCCTCCTCCTCCTCCTCCTCCTCCTCTCCCTCTCTTTCCCCCTCTCCCTCTCTTTCCCCCTCCCTCAATCCTTCCCTTGCTCTCTAAAAGAAATGAAAAAATGTCCTTGGGTAAGGATTAAAAAGTGTCCTGAATTGGATGCCAAATTACATGATTATCCTATAATTATGGAATGAAGGTTAAGTGAGTCCTACATAAACCAACCAACATTTATTGAGGGACTACTGTGTATCCTATGAATATGCAGAGAAAGCATTCCATGTTTTTCTCTGAGGGAGCTTATCCTGAATTAGCGAGATAAGCTCCATGCTTCTCTGGGATGAGATGGGGTTGGAGGAAGGGGTACAGATTAGAGGAGTTAGAGAGGAAAGAAATCTGCCAACTATGAAACTTCACCAGTATAAATCTCATCAAGCAAGTCCTCCATCACTTCCTGCCTGGCCATCCCTGGGTGTCCTATTGAATCACCCAAGTTCTCCCGTTTCTGCAGACAGAAGCGAAAAACAGATCACTAGTAGCCCTTATTCACCGGGGTCAACCAAACAGCAGGAGTAAGAGGAAACTAACTCAAAGGAATGACTCACTCCAAAGCAATGGGAGTTTCTAACTTGTGTTCTTGAAAGGTAGGACATGATTCGCCTCTGATATTAGACTCAGACTTTTGCCATAGGAGAGAAACTGTGTATCTGCTGAGTCTAAACATGTATCTGCCAGGGGCTCTCTCTGTCCTTGGGAAGAGTCGGTGCTGACCGCTGCCTGTGGCAGCACTGGGACTATATATCTCGGAGGTTCCGTACCCAGCACTGTGCCACTGGCAGAGAGGAATTCAAATGCTGTGGCCAGAGATCACTTATGAAGCCTGAGCCAAGTCCAGTAACCAAGTTCCTGTGTATGACATGTGTCCTAACTGAAGTGTAAGACCTAAAACAGGTGTCATGGACTGCAACTATCAACAGGGAATGAGGCATGCAGAAGAAGAATCAAAATTTGGGGGAAAGCAAAGGAAGACAGAGGGCGGCCTAGGCAGGGTTCCCTGAAGCAGATCCCGGGGTGCGAATGTGTGTACAGGTGATGTATTAAAGACATGCCCCCAGGAGAGGCTGGTTAGGGACGAGGAAGCTGGGTTGGAAAGAGAAAGAAGCCAAATAACGGCTTGAATTTGGGTGAAATCGTAGCCTCCTTGTTAACTGGAAGTGAGAAATGGAATGTAAGTTATATCTCAGAGTATGTCCTGGCTTTAAAGCAAGACAGCTATGCTTTCATACCCCCACTGCAATCAGTGATTGGCTAAGGGCTGGCCCGGGAAAGTAGAAGAACACGCCTTACTTTCTATGCTCGTGGACCAAGTCGTTGCAAGTAGCCTTTGAGCAGCCAAAGAGATGGTGGGTGCAGGCCATGGGAGACAAAACAATACAGCCTTGGGTGGGGGGAGTGTAGAAAGAGGCCCACAGAAAGAGTGAAAAGGCATCTGAGGGCAGAGCACCAAGAGTGTCTGCTGCAATTACTGCTAACTGGCACGCACAGGTGTTTTGTGGTCACCTATAAGGGGCCTGGTCTGACAGCATTCTGTCGAGTTCATACATCTTTCAATTGAGTTCACAAATTTTCCTTGCAAACAAATGCAGACAGAAGCCCTGGTTGCAAATAACGTGTCCTTGCGTGTGCCATGGCGTTCTACTCAAAGCAGCCCTTGCTGGGGTCTGGCACAGTGGACCTGAGTGTGATTGTGCCAGATGCTCAGAGAATGTTGTTCCCTTTTGTGGTCCCTGCCTCATTGGGCTGTTGTGTTGTGTGCGAGGCAGAGGAGAGAAGGGCTGTTTTCTCTTTGTTTCGAGAATTTGTCTATAGAGTGATTCCGGAGTCTTGACAATGGCAAATCCTGAAGTTTGGGGTGGGACGGAGGGCAAAAAAAAGAAGGCTCGATTTCTTGATGCAGTAACTGCACAATATTGACAAACAAAAGGTAAGCTTGGATAAAAAGTGAAACATTGCCAAATAAGCTAACGTGTCTATAAGAGCTGGGTCTCTAATCAGGGAGGAAAAAGAAATTGGTCCAAAAGTTTTGAGTAAACTGTTTATAAATAGTTTATGAGCCAAGAAGGGACTTCTCAGCATTGTTACTCTTTTCAGAAAAACAAAACAAACTGAACATAATGAAAAAGAATATAAAATGCCATTATGAACTGATTCATACCTCGATTCAAACTGTCAACTCAAAACACCTGTATACATGGGAAGAGAATTCTTCCTGCTGCTTTTCAAAACATTGTTCAAAACCCATAATTCCCTTGGTCCCCTGTAGCTGTAACTGAGTGAAGATATTGGTGGTGAATAGTTATGTCATTTGCTGGCACCAGTGTGGGGACCCAATGTTTGATTATTTTCCATAAGATTTAGATTTTTTTTCTTCTCAGAAATTCAGTATGAGTTCCAACTAAGTCAATGAAGGAGACATCGGAAACCTTGTCTGTGGTATTTTACCTTGTCATTTCTGAACAAACCTGAACCATGTTTACCATTTTTTTCCAGAGCAATGTATCATCTAGAAAAAAAATGAAAAAAAAACTTTATTGATTTTCTCATTAGTTTATCAATGAACTGAAAATATCTCCCTAGAGGTAAAGCTTTCAAGGTTAATAAGACACCCAAGCATGCTGGGATTCTCCAAACTCTGAAATATATATATATATATTATATTTATATTTATATTTTTAAACTACTGATCTTTTTTTAAAGATTTTATTTATTTATTTTTAGAGAAGGAAGGGAGGGAGAAAGAGAGAGAGAGAGAGAGAGAAACATCAATGTGCGGTTGCTGGGGGCTGTGGCCTGCAACCCAGGAATGTGCCCTGACTGGGAATTGAACCTGCAACACTTTGGTTCGCAGCCTGCGCTCAATCCACTGAGCTACACCAGCCAGGGCTGAAATATATTTTTAAAAAATAGCTTTAAAAGAACCAAGGCAAATATTAGTGAGAATTCCACCTTTTATTTATGAAGTACCAAATTGGATAAGGGAAAACCACTTCTTAGCCACTGTTTTAATGCTCTGTCCTCCCGAAGTCCTTGTGGAGAGACAGATGCCACTTCGGGCAGACGGAGGGCCGGAAGCAGAGGGTGCCAGCCACTGGTCTGCATCCAATTCAAAGCTGCAGACTAGCCTCTCACATGTCCCACGTTGTTCCCAACCTCTCAGACGTGATTCTCCCCACGGGGCGCGGTGAGACCCGATGTGATCACTTGCTGCGTCTGGTTGTACCGTGTGTCTCAGTGTCGAGTCCTCTCTAAGGGCTCGCCTCTCCTTTCCAAAGAAAATCCTAATTCTGTGTGTGCGCCTGTGAGTGGGAGTGGAATAGAAATAGAAATAGTCAACTTTATTATAGAAGCAGTATATACTTGCAACATCCTACATCTCACTAAGCAGCATAGAGATGCAAGATAAAAGGAGAACATTGCTTTTCCGGACCAACCCTGGTTCCCAGCAGTGAACAACTTAGTGGGCATCCTTCCAGACTTTTTTCTATGGTGTGCAAACATGAGGTGTCTATGAATCATTCTTTTAAACCACTGGGTCTCAACCGGGGGAAGTTTTGTCCCCTACTCCCACTTCCAGGGGACCTTTGGCAATGTCCAGAAGCATTGTTGGTGGTCTTGATTTCGGGGGCGGGGGGGGGGGATGCTACTGGCATTTCCTGTGCGGAGGCCAGGGGTGCTGCAGAGCCTCCTGCAATGCACGGGGCAGCCCCCACCACCAAGAGCGAATCTAGTCCAAACATCAGCCATGCCACAGTTGAAAAGCCCTGTTAGAAACAAGAGTGGATTAAAGCTCACATACAATTTTTCTACTTGTTTTCAGTGCCTGTGTCATGGATACTTTTTCCAGGCCAGTCCATGCTGGTCCATCTCACTTGAAAAAATAACAGCTGCATATTCCATTGTGTGGATGGAGGGACAGTTATATATCCATCCAGCTCCTTAAGATAAAGTTGTTATCGTGTTTAGCTTTTCACCATTGTGAAGAGGGCTGCAATGAATGACTGTCCTCACATAATTCTTGGTTCATGTGTAGAGGTTATTTTTGTAAGATACATTCGTAGATGCTGAACTGTCAGTTCAAAGGATGTGGATATTTCAGCCTTTGAAGGCTGTTGCCAAAAGGATCACTGAAAAATTTGACCAGTTTTTAGAATGAGCTGTTATTAATGCCAGTCCTCAAAATAAGAATTAGGACTTGCATTTCAGAAACTGGGTTCAAATTGGACATGGATTGATTTCCAA